GTTTGCCTTCTGGGCAAAACTACATTGAAAATATGCACTATTATTTTGTTTTGATACTCAGATTTGAGATATTCAAGATTCAAGACTCATGCCATATAATTTTATGATAAAAACTAGCACCATCAATATGCATGAATTTGGACAAATAATCATTGACTTCCAAATCAGAATTACGTCAATTTGACATTAGCCATAGAAATTGTCCTAGTGCTATTATCATATAATTAGTGCTATGAATTCACCTTCTGGGCAATGCTATGTTTAAGATTTAAGATATGAGATAAATCTCTACATCTATGGCCTATAGCAAATGATTAGTATCATCGATGAACAATAACCATAGTAAAAGAAAACCATAGAGGTAATCACCCATTTTAGCTCAATTATATTCCATGAAGATTGTTTTCAGAAAATTCTAGCCAGTTGCATATATAGGTCTAATAACATCCATCACATCAATATATGTATAGATATTTTCTTGCTCAGGATATGGATGTACATATCATACACATCACAAAGGGCCATATGCATTAACTATTAATATATCTCTTGAGAGTATTAAAAATGGAGTATGAGTACTTGGGCCTCAGTGACATAGATAATCACATGTTCTGTACTGTAAATTTTACATACGGCAAAACTAGCAATATTGAAATAGCCAGCAATAACAGAAGAATTCCAAGGCATTGCTTCCTATGTGGAGCTTCTATTCATGCACTGCAAGCTAGTACTCATTCTACAAAGCCAAATTTCTTTCTTGCCCGCATTTAACCATTAACTTTGCACTCATACAACATATTAACTTTGTACGTAGGTGTAATAGGCAAAAGGAATATGAAGCTATGCAATATTCAGAATCAGGCCCCAGAATTTATGCAAATAATTTTAACCCACAATGGCCACAAATTTAACTGGACAATCACATACTCAAGTAATAAGTAGAATTCATAAGAAATACCGTTCACCAATTTGCTGATCTTTTCGCCATGTATTCAATGATCTTACCGCCAGAGAAAGATCTTTCGGTCGTGTATATAGTCTGCCACGGATCTCCAGCCTACATCGAATGCAAATCGCCGGCCAATAGCCGGCGGCGGTTGATGGGTCGTGACGCCTTCTGGGCGTGACCGATGGGAAGCAGGGAGAGAGGAAGTAACGATCGTCCTCGATCTGGTCACCAGACTGCAAAACCAGCAGCCCTCAGTCTTCGTCCCCGAAAACCAACTTGTTCTCGATCATCGATCGGTTCTAGAGCGGAGAGAACGAGGATCACGCGGGGAAACCGGCCTCACGCGGTGCTCTCCAATCGATGGGGTCAACGATTTGATCTGGTCAAGATCGCCGCGAAGGGAGATCCACGAACGGGGAGAAGCCGTGACGCTTCCTCGGGCGAGACCGGACTGCCGCGATGGACACACCGGTCGCCCTTCTCGAGCGGAGAGAAGGTCGATTTGCCGGCGTCAGGGAGGAAAAAGCTGACTGCGTCTGCTGAATCCGATCGCCGTCTACAAAACCGTTGTCGTCTGCGAAAACTGATCGCTACGATCGCCATCTGCCACCTCTCGCCGCAGCCTTGCGGGAAGGAAAACGAAGACGCAGTATACAGAGTAATAGAGGACAGATTTTCAATATAGTAAATTTCCTTTTTTATAAAAAGAATTGCACATAATATTTCTCTGGGGCGATTTTGGATTTGGGTTGAGGCTCGCCGGCGCCGGAGGCCGTGCGTGTTTTCCCAGAGAGAGGCAAGAGGATTTTGGTCAGAGCAAAGCGCTGATAACGTGTTAAAAGTAAATTAGACAGGGCATTAGACAAAGACTAGAGAGGGAAGACTGATCTCTATTCACCATTTACCATTACAACAATATATATCTCTATATACAACATAAAGGTAATAATGAATAATGAATACACATAAATGTGAATAATTGTTACAACGGTTACAATTGGATAATAATGTCCACCATGATGATTTGTTTATAACAAATTCTTTGTAAAGTTAAATGAAAGCAGGCAATTTTAAAACAACTTAAGATTTACTTCTAATAATATGATGTAGTGTGTAAAATACAACTTGATGTTATGACATAAAAAAAAAAAAAAAAATTAATCTCGATATTCTGACACCACACACACATACAAAAATAAAAATAAAAATAACCTCATAAGTTTAATTCATTGTGGCATTCAAAAAAAAATAATAATAATAATCATTGTGAAGTTAAATGAGAGCTTGGCAATTTTAAAACAATTTTAGAATATAATTCAAAGCTAATGCTAAGCATCTTGTGCTCAGATAGCACCTCTGTCTTGGTAGTGGGGAATTGATTCGCAAATTATATCGTGCACCGTGGTGCATGATTGATCATGCACCGCGCATCAAAACGACGTCGTTTTGTTTAATGAAAAGAAACAGAATCTTCGCAAAAAATAACTCTGTTCTTCAGTTTCATTTTGTATACCCTGCAGTTTCAGTTCAACACAACTACAGTTTCATTTCGATATAACTATAGTTTTATTCAATATTTATACACTCAAATATGTGAAAATGCTATTTAATTTTATTTTATATACACTATAGTTTCATTAAAATACAACTACATGATCATTTCAATATAATTACAGCTTCATTGTACAATATACACTCAAATATGTGAAATGCTATTCAGTTTCATTTTATATATACTGTAGTTTCATTTCACCACAACTACATTATCATTTTGATATAACTGCAGTTTCATTTGATAATATGAAAATAATACATGAGACAGTGTCGATTTAAAACACTGTAGTGTCACTCCGTTATAAATGCAAAAATAGGACCGTTTTGATACGCGGTGCATAATACCAATTATGCACTGCGGTGCACGATATAACGACTGGAATTGATTTGTTCAAAAAAATAAAAATAGTTTTCTACTTTACTTTTCTCTAACGGCGGCGTTTAGGGAGTGGGCATGTGTGTAGTGGAAAGGAATGCGAGTGGCAGCAGTTTAAGAGCGGTTAGTGTACGTGTTGCGCCAGAATCGACGGGTGGAATTCCTTTTGCGACAGATGAGCGGTGGAGATTGCTGGATTTAGGCGGGGAAGCACTCGGACGGAGGGACGGACTTGTATATTTTATAATAATAATGCCCTCTCTTCGACTCTTCATAAGTCATAACTCAACTCAAAGTTCGCCGGACGGAATTAAGAGCGGTGGCAGTGGAGGTGGATGGCGGAGATCTGCTGCGGAGTGTTGAGTGAGAAGGAGGCATCTCAGCCGTGCGAGAAGAGTTCTCCGGCCGTCAGGAAGAGGAAAGTGGAGATCAGGAAGATCAATTTCGTTGCCGGAGTAACTCCGTCGTCGTCGTCGTCCTTGCCGGACGCCGAGACAGGACTCAAGCGTCCTCGGCTGGAGTTCTATTACGGCCCGATTTCAGGAGTGTGTGGTAACGCTGTAGACAATTTTGTCGGCTCCGATGTGGAGGAGAAGGGGAAGGCGGTGGTGGTGAAGAAGGATTTTCCGTCAACACTCCTCCTGCCTCCATTCACTTCCAATCTGTTGATGGAGTCCGTGGCGTTGCCGAAATTCGGCATGGCTTCAGTTTGCGGAAGGAGGAGGGATATGGAAGATGCCGTAGCAATTCACCCTCGGTTTTGCCGCACCAATCGTGAAAACGATGACGAATTGCATTATTTTGCAGTCTACGACGGCCATGGATGCTCTCACGTATGTCCAATCTTCTCTTCTTCGTAATTAAAATTGCTGGATCAAATTTTTTTTCAATGCTTTAATTACTTGAATTTTTGTTACATTTTAGGTAGCATTCAAGTGTAGAGAGCGGTTACACGAGCTGGTGCGGGAAGAGCTGGAGACGAAAGAAGATAGTGAGGAGTGGAAGCAAGCGATGGAGCGAAGCTTCGATCGAATGGACAAGGAAGTGATCGCATGGAACAAAAACTTGATGCGAGGCAGTTGCCGCTGTGAGCTCCAGACGCCGGAATGCGACGCCGTTGGTTCCACGGCAGTTGTCGCCGTCATAACGCCTCTCAAAATAATCATCGCCAATTGCGGCGATTCCAGAGCCGTCCTTTGCCGGAACGGCAAAGCCATCGCTCTCTCTAATGATCATAAGGTATACATTTATTCTTTATTTTTCTCGTGAATCGGAGTATAAGTATATATATATGATGCTGGTTTCGCAATTTAACTGTGGGGGGCGCAGCCGGATCGTCCAGATGAGCTGAGGAGGATCGAAGAAGCCGGTGGGCGGGTGATATATTGGGACGGTCCTCGAGTTCTGGGAGTTCTGGCGATGTCGAGAGCCATAGGTGATAACTATTTGAAGCCTTACGTGACATGCCAGCCGGAAGTGATAGTTACCGACCGGACGCCGGAAGACGACTGTTTAATCCTGGCAAGCGACGGTCTCTGGGACGTGGTGTCTAATGACACTGCATGCAGTGTCGCCGGGACCTGCCTTAAAGGGAAGACGACGATAACAACAACAACAACGCCTTGGAGCTGGGCGGAGAAAGATGCCGGAGCAGAGAACTCGAACTCCGACAAGGCTTGTTCAGATGCTTCAACGTTGTTGGCTAAGCTGGCTCTGGCAAGGCGGAGCTCCGACAACGTGAGTGTTGTGGTGGTGGACTTGAAGAAGGAGATACACCCCGGCCGCCGCTCCATATGAATACATACAACTTTTAGCAGCAGCGGCGTTAGTGAATGTTTGTGTTCTCTATAATGATATTTCATCGTGGTTAGGTACTTAGGTTGTTTAGAGTTAGTATGTGTTAAGCCCTAATTAGCAATCAATGGAAATGTTACCCTATGCTCAATGTTTAACTGTAAATATAGCAACAAGTATTTTCTCCTCAAAGCAGAAAGAAAAGAATTTGTCAACTACTATGAAATCTGATAGCACTTCTATTACTGAATGGTCACAAGATCCAATAGAAAACAAAGAATTTACCAATTACTATGTGGCCGTTATGAAATGGTTACAGGATCGAACCTGGTGGTGAGGCATTGATTCTTTGGGCGGAAAGAGTTCGTTTTCTGCAGTTTTAGCCATGCCGGGGATAAAATCCATTTACGGTCATGCCACCATCGACACAAATGATCTGACCAGTTATGTAAGATGAAGCAGGTAAACAGAGGAATGCCACAAGAGAAGACACCTCTTCGGGCTCTCCCAGGCGTCTTAGAGGAGTCCTATCATAAACCTCCTCTACATATTCCTCATTACTCAGCACCTAAATTTGGAATAGGATGATATATCATTATGAGATTAAATAGAGCCTTCCCAAGAAGTAGTAACAACCACCTTTGCTTTATCAAGTTGCCGGAACCGGAAAACTTACTTGCTCCACCATAGATGTTCTGATGTACCAAGGCGCGACACCATTGCTCCTGATATTGTCTTTTGCCCACTCACACGCCAAGCTTTTCGTAAGTTGGTTAATAGCTCCTGTGAGTAACTATAGCATTAAATACTATCGAGCTCAAGATAGATAGATAGATACAATAGCAAAATCCTTAAACGAGATCAAGATAGATACATCACCTTTCGTTGCTCCTTGGACAGACATAGACTTCAGTGATACAAAAGCCGAGACAGATGAAGTGAATACAACACATCCTGCCCCCGATGCTTTAAGAAGAGGATAGGCAAGTTGGCATAGATGAAAAACTGATTCGAAGTTTGTTGCCAATAGGGTGGTAAAGTCCTCGGCTGTGAAATCCGATACAGGTTTTCGTATATTTGTCCCAACATTGTTTATCTACTGAGCCAACAAAAGAAGAAAACCAACCTATTACTTCCTCAAAAATCATGTACTAATCAGATTTGATTCGACAAGAGAGCAAAGGATACTAGAGAACCAAACCATGTCAACATATTTAACCCGGCAAAAACTGAAAAGAGTTGACGAAATGAACCCTTCACCCGTGTAATTATATCAAATTAAAAAGCATGGAGATTAAAGATATACTAATGTAGCTGTAGGTGAAGAATATATACAATGCCAGTCTACCCTTTCCAAGTTGCAACATATCCAAATTCCCAATTTATATTTCATATTCCAAAGTAAGATTAACTGATACTGGATTCCAAAACAAAACTTCAATTCTCCTTTTTCGATTCTCTATAGGAAAATGTAGAAAGTAAATAAATGTATTCTCTGTTTTCGTTGTTCTAAGTTGTCAATTCTCCATTTCCCAGGTTAGCAATCACAATTCACAATTCACAATCCACACTTGTCTCTTAGAAAAGGGAATTTGGTGAATTGGCAAACAAAAAGCATGCAATTTCTTCGAATCTACATAAATTTCTATGAACAAAAGGCTTGAAAGAGCAAGGGAAACTGACAAGGATATCGAGCTTTCCACTGAAAGTAGAAGAAACAGCCTCCATTAGCTTCTGGCGATCAGGCCGAGAAGACACATCGCACACTGATCCACTCACTTCAAACCCTTCCTCTTTCCATCCCCTCAAGCATTTTCCCAGCTCCTCTTCGCTACGGGCGCAAGTATGCACGCTGGCTCCAAGTCCCGCCAATTCCTCCACAATGGCGTTCCTAATTCGCATAATCCGCAGAAGAATCGAACAAAAAGGTAGTTCAGTTTCAAAATCGGCCCTCCAAAACTCCAATCTTATGTTAATTACACATCAATATGCATAAATTAGTGGTGTACCCTACCCAATGCCTCTGGTGCCGCCGGTAACGAGGGCACTCATGCCGTGAAGTGACCACCGGTCGCCGCCTTTCCTGGAATGTGCGGTGACCGTCCACTTGCGTGTGCGAGTGATAGTGTGTTTTGATAGTCGGACGCCGTGAGGGGCGGCGGCTGAGTGTAAAGGCGCTAGGGGAGATCGTACGACGAGGGTCTGAGACATTTATGATGTTAGCTTCTACTTCCACTGAGACTGCTTGTTTGAGACTTTGATTGTTCCGAAAGCAATAGGAGGAGGCGGCGGGCGGCGGGCGGCGGTGGGGGTGGTGGTGAAGAATTACAAATTTTGGAGCTATCAAAATCTGATTCTTCTAATTCTTTCTTGAAATGCCATCAAAAAAAAAAAAAAAAAGCATGTTAAATGTTTGATTTAGAAATAATTTTTGAAAGAATAAGAATGCTATTGTGCAAGAAATGGAATAGATAAGTAGTAATAAAGATTGGTTTTCAAAAAAGTAGTAATAAAGACATTTTATTTTATTGTTTGGTAATAAACTTTAAGAATATAGATTGATAGATTGATTTAAGAAAGGGAAAATGACACTTTTTCCCCTGTGTTGTTTACTAATAGCATATTTTCTCCCTGTGTTGTTTATGTAATTATTTTATTCCCTCAATTATTTTTGAAGTGGTTATTTTCTCGTCTTTCCGTTAAATAAATGTTAGAGATGTTAAATATGAGGGTAAAAATGATATTTCACTTCTTCTTATTATTATTATTATTATTATTATTATTATTATTATTATTATTATTATTATTATTATTAGTAGTAGTAGTAGTAGTAATTTAGAAATGAATTTGGTTTACAATATAACTATGCATTTTAGACGTGGAGTACTGCAGTATATTAGGGCATTAGGTAGGACTTATTATTATTATTATTATTATTATTATTATTATTATTATTATTCATTGCTAATAATAATATTAATAATAATATAATAATAATAATAATAAGTGAAATGTCATTTTTACCCTCATATTTAACAGCCCTAACACTTACTTAACGGAGAGGAAAAAAAAATAGTCACTTCAAAAACAATTGAGGAGGATAAAGTGGTTACATAAACAACATAGAGAGAAAATGTGCTATTAGTAAACAACACAGGGAAAAAAAGTGTTATTTTCCCTTTAAGAAATAAATAAATAAATATTTAAGAAACATGAATATTATTTATACTAATTAGTATGACACTCGTGGTGTACGCTATGAATATTAATAATATTATCTTGAGATAAGAGTTAAATAGCCTTTCAACTATATATTAAAGTGTAATTAACCTCTTAAAAATCTTTAAAAAAACCATCTTAAAGAAATGACTCCAAATGAACCTTTAAATCATTTTTTGACATTCAACCAAACATCATAAAAATAAAAATATTTTTTATAAAAATGAGTGAGTCATTTTATCAAAGACCTTGTGGTCCACTGGTACCAAGTTGTTCCGTTATGTGGGAGGTGTTGGGTTTGAGTCCCAAATTAGCATTACAAGACTATAAGTTGTTGGTTATGGTGAATAAGTTGATACACAAAAAAAAATAGAAAATTAATTTCAACTAATTTTGGTACAAAACCAATATATATATATATATATATATATATATATATATATATATATATATATATATATATATATATATATATATATATATATATATATTAACAAAATAAAGATTTAATTTAGAAAAAATAATCTCCCACCAAAAACAATATATATAAAAATACATATAAAACGAAAGAAAAGGTTTCTAACATGAGGTTTTAACCCAATGAAAAGAAACAGAAATTTGAGTCGTGTGTACACACACTCAAAACCGATTCGCCACCTCCCGATGGTGCTAGCTAGGAGCGTTATGGCGTCAGTCTCCCAAGATAAAATAGACACGACTTTGGTGTTCGAGCACTCAAACCCAAAGCCTGACGACCTAGAACACAAGTTGAGCACTCTGTATGAAATTACGGAAGATGTTAGCAAAATTTCTTTTCCTTCATATCAAAAAGAGTTGAGAGATGAGAGGAAAGAAAAATCAAAAGATTTTGATTACTTCAAAACTAGCATGTGAAAAAACATTCTGTCACACTAAGCTATTTGTTGGGAAGATAGGAATAAATCGTTTAGGGAAGCGTGTTTAGGGAGGGACATTCACAAATTATTTAGGGATGCGTGTTATGAATATGGATTATTAGATGATGACAAGGAGTACATCGACGGTATTACTGACTCGAGTTACTAGGCATCTGCGTCTGCATTGCGAAGGTTGTTTACTACGTTGCTGACTTCAAGTTCAATCAGTAGACCCGAGGTGGTGTGGAATGTCGTTTGAAAATTCCTTGAGGAGGATGCAAAATTTCATTGTTGACGTCTCATGCACAATCTAGGTACATCAACATCCAATCTATTTATTCGACTTTCTTATTTGCTTATCATTATTTATAAATAAATACATTCGTTGATTTTGATTTTGATTTTGTTTCTTTTTTGGACTATGAAGATTTGTTGTTATCATATTCGGATAAGAAACAGTTTGCTATGGTAGAGTTGGAGAAGTTGCTATCTTTGTGGGAAAGCCTGAGAGACTATCCAGAAATTCCAATTCCAGACGAAAGCAGCATTGGATTGACGGAAAACATGTTGATAGCCGAAGAGTTGGCGTATGACAAGGAATCGTTAAAGGCAGAGCATGAAACATTGGTAACACAATTGACGGACGAACAAAAGAATGTTTACGACTCTGTGATGTATGATATTGATTCTAATGGAGGGGGATTGTTCTTTGTGTATGGTTACGGATGAACAAGCAAGACGTTCGTGTGGAGAACGTTATCTTCAAAGATAAGGAGTCGTTGAGATATTGTTCTAAACATTGCTTCAAGTGGAATAACATCTTTGCTCTTGCCGGGAGGTAGGGCGTCGCATTCTTGATTTGTTATACCACTCTCATTGAATGGAGATTCAACGTGCAATTTAACACAAGGCATTGACCTTTCCGAACTTATAATAAAGAGCAAATTGATAATATGGGACGAAGCACCGATGACGCAAAAACATTGTTTTTAGGCTTTGGACAAAATCATGCGAGATCTATTGAGGTTCACCATACCGGGTAGTGTTGAGAAAACATTTGATGGAAAGACAGTAGTGTTGGGCGGTGATTTTAGACAAATTCTTCCAGTTATTCCAAAAGCAACGAGACCAATGGTTGTTGGAACAACTATTAAAGGGCCGTTTACTTCGTTTCTCTGTTTTTCTATTTCCAATTTTTCATTTCTCCATTTCTCCAGTTTTCCTTCTCCATTCTTCCAGTTTTTCATTTCTCCAATTTTTCAATTTTCATTCCACATTTCTCTAATTTTATGATTTTATTAAATACAATGGTCCCATATAGCATTTTTACATTTCTACAACAAAGATAAAGATAATAATAATAATAATAATAATAATAATAATAATAATAATAATAATAATAATAATAATAATAATAATAATAATAATAATAATAATAATAATAATAATAATAATAATAATAATAATAATAATAATAAAGATGATAATAATAATACGAATAATAAGATTAATGGAAATTATAATTTATGCTCTCCATAATATGCCAATTATCAATGTTACTTCTGAATTATTAGTAGTGTAAATATTGTCCCTAAATTATCAAAACCGTACATATAATGTCCTCCCGTAGGTAAATGTTGCTCCTCGTATTTCAAAACGGTACACATATTATTACAATTTTTCTTAAGAATAATAATAATAATAATAATAATAATAATAATAATAATAATAATAATAATAATAATAATAATAATAATAATAATAATAATAATAATAATAATAATAATAATATAATAATAATAATAATAATAATAATAATAATAATAATAATAATAATAATAATAATAATAATAATAAAGATGATAATAATAAAACGAGGAATAAGAATAATGGAAATTGTAATTGATGCCCTCCATAATATGTCAATTATTAATGTTACTTCTGAATTATTAGTGGTGTAAATATTGTCCCTAAATTATCAAAATTGTACATATAATGTCTTCCCGTAGCGGCGTAGCATAAATGTTGCCCCTCATATTTCAAAACGGTACACATATTATTACAATTTTCTTAAGAAGAAGAAGAAGAAGTTCTGTTCTCCCGAGTTTTCCTCCATCTCTCCATTTGGAGAAGTCCAAAATTGCTTTCTCCAAAAATGTACATGAAGTGGGAAAATGGAGATGGAATAAGCATTTGGAAGAAGAAATTTAGTAAACAAGTTCTCCAATTTTTATTTTTTCCGCCCCTCAATTTCTCCATTTTTCTGGAAAATCCTCCATTTTTCCAAATTGGTAAATGACCTCTAATTATTCATACCTCTGGAGGAATTGCAAGGTATTGAGGCTCACGAAGAACTTGAGACTACGGAGCTTAGCTTCAGACGAAGATAGACAGACGGTTGATTGGTTCTCAAAATGGATTGCAGACATCGGAGATGGAATTACAGGGTTTGTAAACAATGGTTTGTTTGAGATCAATATTCCAGCAATGTTTATGTTGAAGTGTGGACCCGATCCAATCGCAACTATAGTTGAAAGCACATTCCCAAGCGTGAAATATGGCATGCTTGAAGAGTCGCACCTAGAAGGATGAGCGATTCTGTCACCAACTTTAGATGTTGTTGATCAAATTAATCAGTACATGTGTGACATGAACATTACAGAAGGTCGAACATATTTAAGTTGTGACTCTTTGTGTAAGACAGAATCAGATGGTGATAATCTATCACAAGTATACACGATCCTGAATTATTAAATAGTTTGAGATTGTCTGGACTTCCTAATCATTCATTGACAATAAAGATTGGTGCACATATTATGTTATTGCGGAACATAGATCACTCTCTTAGTCACAAGATTGGGGGATCATATTGTCGAAGCAAGAATAGTTAATGGGACAAATCAAGGAACCAAAGTTCTTATCCCACGGATGTCTCTCACCCCTTCTGATACGAGATTGTCCTTCAAGTTCCAACGTAAACAATTCCCGTTGATGCTAGCATATGCCATGACTATCAACAAAAATCAGGGGCAAACCCTGACTCACGTTGGGTTATTGCTGAAAAAACCGGTCTTTAATCACAGTCAGTTGTACATGACTTTTTCCCGAGTCACTCATCCTGATAGCCTAAAGGTTTTAGCTCTAGATGAGAATGGACAAAATTATGTTACTACTACACCAATGTCGTCTATAAAGAGGTTTTCAATAATGTGTAATTCAAAGCAGTTATATTATGTTTTCTTTTTATACAAATATGA